CTACAGGTGGACATCGTGTGAGAAACAGTCGTGCGAATGACGATGGCGCGAAGAATACTGAGGGGTCAGCTGCTGGAGAAAAGAAGGACGACAAGAAAGGCCTCGAAAAAGATGTTGTTCCGACAATCAGTGAGGGAAAACTACAGCCGCCACTCACGACAGCCGCCAGCACGAGTGCTACGGCAATAGATGGTGACAGTAAAGGCAGCCCCACAGCAGCTACGGCCCTGCAGTCTGACGATGGCTCAGAAAGCAATCCGGCCAAAAATGGCTTGAGACAACCTTCCAGTGAAAGAATCGCACAGCTCAGTACGACTCCCGATCCTGAAGACGCATCAGAAGTCACGGAGAACGCGGCCGCTGAAAATGCAGGAATCCCAACAACAAAAGCAATCGCCACAGCCAAAACAAATGACACGGTGACAACTGGTGACACCGCCGCCAATCAGCCGCTCCAAGGATTTGTGTTGGTCGCCAACAGAATGCGCGGTAGACCGTCGGTTTCCTTCCAATGGATTTGATTGTTGCCGGTTTCGCCACCGACGTGACCCTTCACCAGCAATAATCCCGATTTGAACTTCTCGCTCGTAGCCTTACAGGTAGCAGCGTCTTCACGGCAGTATTTTCCAACAAGCATGTAAATATCACTTCCATTCACAAATGCTGTTGGTCGGCTCACGTCTACTCTCTTCTTCGGCGTCTGAGGAAGTCACTTTCTCCAGAACTTGTGTCACCTTGGCATCCTTCAGCACCTCCTCCTTTTGGTTATCCGCTGTTTTCTTGAGAATTTGGGATGCAATCCCAGTAAAGCCGCTGTTTTCATCCTTCTTGCACTGCGCCTCGGCAACAGCAAATACGTCATTCCCAACTTTTAGAAGGCCGGGAGCACCCAACGAGTCCACAGTTACACCATCGTCAGTGATGACCTCCCATTGAAACCTTGGTTCATTCGGTGCCGTTTCATCAGCGGTCGCACCTCCACCAGTGCCGCAGCGAATCATTACGAAGAGAAGGAGCACCGCGGAAGTAAACACACGCCGGGACATGTTGGGCCTCTGCGGCTCACTCGCTCCTCATTCCCTCCTCCTTCCGCTGGATCCGGTCACGCGGCGACGGTTGTGTGTGCGGGGTGCCTTCACTGCAGCAACACGTGAGAGCATATAAATATGTGTGCGTGGGCGGTGTGTGTGTGTGCCGTTAGTCCTTTCAGAGCCTTCGAATTTCACAGTAGCGATTAGCGCTTGGTATTAACTTCTTTCCTTCCTAGCGTGAAAAAAATAAAGAAAAACAGGCCAATAAAAAGGGATGAAACAGTGAGCACGGCCGCCCCTCCACAATGAGTGGCATCATCATCCCCGCCGCAGTCATTCCCAACAACAACAACTCACGCACACAGACACACTGAACGAGAAGGAAGAACAGTGCACCGATAACACACAGCAACTGCCACCACCAGCACCGGCAGCAGCAGCAGCCACGGCGGGTACTTCTGCCACGCGTCAGCACACACCGAGAAACGCCCACACACGCTGCCGCCAGTCGTTTTACTGTAGTCTCTCCCCGCAACATCCACCGCACATCGCCCCGCACAGCCGGAGAATCCTCCGTCTCTGTATGAACAGCGGGAGGAACACGTCGGCACGTGCAGCTGCTGGGCAAGAATCCATACGCACTTATCCCAGGCACCCTCAATGACGCACCACGTTAGTCAACTGCTGCACGAGAAGAAAATCACGCTCGCAGCACGGCAACAAAACAATCACGATCCTCCGTCATCCCTCCTCGCTAGGGCCACAGAAAAATCCTGTACGTACGTGCGTCCTCAGCATTCACGCCGCTCCACAGCGTGTGCAGCACGGCGTGTGAGTGTGTTTGGCAGCGTCTATAATTGCAGAGCAGCTGTGCGCCACAAGAGAGTCAGAAGAAAGCAACGGCAGAGAGAGGCAGATAGCACACACGCACAAATTACTCATATCATCACACACACACGCAGCCCGTGGAATGGGTGCACTCAACCACAACAGAAGTAAAACAACAAAAAAAAGCCGAAGCGTGGGACGACCAGCGCACACACTCTCATTGCTCCCGTAAAGCAAAACACACACACAGGGAGAGAGAGAGAGAGAGGTCGCCCACTCAATGCAATAAAAACAAAACAGAAACAGTTACGGTGCTCCGCCCATGCAGCCAGGCAGGACGGCAGCGGTGCGTGTGGTGCAAAAGAGAGCACCAACGGGCCTGCATGGGTGTGCATGCAATATATACAATGGGCACATTATGTGTGTGCTTCGTGGGATGAGGTGAGGGCGAGAGTCCATGCAAGGGGACACACACAGAGAGTGAGTGAAGGACGAGTGTGTGTGCGGGCGGTGCACGGCTCTCTCTCCCTCACTCTCACGCGGCCACCACCGCAGCAGCAGCCGCACACGCAACAAGAAGAAGAAGCAAAAGAGGGGAGGTGGTGTGGGAGACCGCGGTGCTGCTGTCACTGTCGCCAACCTTTACATTATCTCCAGTTTGGCGTTTTTCTGTCGCCGCAGCATCCGGAGTTTGAGCATCCTCGGTTGTCTTCGTCCCTGTGGATTGTTCCTCCTCAAAAGGGGAAAATTCTTCGCTTGTAGATGGTTCAGCTTCTTGTTCTTGACTGCCAGTTGATGTACTCTGCGCCGTAGCTTCTGTAGAGGCAGGATATTCCTTATTTTCCTTTTGTAGTTCGGGTATGTTCGTGGATGTATCCGTGCTTTGGCTTTCATTCGTCTTTTGTTCCGGAGTTAACATTTCATTTTGGGTTTTGTGCTCCGGCGTTACTGTGTTTGGCACTGTCGTTTGAACCTGTTCACTGCTTTCTGATTTTGTACCTGGACCCTCTAATAAGTCTCCTTTTCTGGGGGCCTTTGGATCCTCGTTTCCAATATCTTGTACTCCCAGTGGGGACTGACCTTCTCCACCCGTATTGTTCTCGCCAACACCTTCACCCTTTTCTGAGGCAGAAATGTGTGGCTGAGGCGCTGATGGCGGTTGCAACTGCCGTTTTGTTTCTTCGTCTTCTCTTTCTCGTTGTGGCTGCGGCTGCCGTTGCGATTGTGACTGTTGCGGTATTGGCTGCGGATGCGGTGACACATTTGATTGCGATTGTAGCGGCTGTATTCCTTCTTGTTCTTCTTTTTTTAATTTCAGGTTTGTTTTTTCATTTCCTGGAGCATCTTCCACGGGTTCTTCCAAATTCTCTGAAGGGCCCCCATCTTTTTTATCCTCTCTGGAAAGAACATCCTGTTGATCGGTGTTAACTTTTTTTCCTTCCAAAGATTTTCCTGTAGATGTTCCTGTTGCCTGATTAACATTGAGCACATCTATTCTTAAATCTGAGGCGTCTGGAACTGGCTCTGAATTTCCAGCAGGCTCCACCGCACTGCTACCACCATTCCCTTTTCCAGCAGCAACCCCAGAATCCGCCACCTCGTCACATCTACCGCCGACACCGCACCACAGCACGCAGAGGGCACACACCAGCAGCACACGGCCAGCCATCATCATCGCCATCACTCCTGTCACTTGCGTGCAGCCTTCAGCACAAACTAACAACACGTCAACGCAAAGCAAGAATAAATACAAGGAGAGAGAAAAAAAAACAGTAAAAAACACCGGCAGGCCGCACACGCACCTCCGTCGCAGCAACTGTCGCACACACGCACAAGAAACAGCACATCAGTGAAGGCACCAACAGGACGCAGAGCAAACGGCACGAAATCATCACAAACAGTTTAGCCAATTAACGCTTTGAAGCCAACCTGCAAGAGCATGTGAAAACAAAAGGAGAGACACGGCCGCTACATCACGCACAGCCACCGCACAGCAACAAATGGCAGCAGCAGCAGAAGCAGAGAACAAACCACAAAAGACAGATAGAATCAGCACGATTGCAAAACTCACATAATATCCTGCAGACCAAAAGTTTAAGAAACAAGCAAAAATTTAAGAAAAAGATGACAAACCCAAGACTCCAGTGCGCATGCACCTATCCTCAAATGTGCGTCCACGTACGGCTCCGCTGCGAATGTATACGAGTGTGGGATGTCTTCAACGAAACAGAAGTGAAGAACAAAGCGGAGCACACATGAGGGCAGCGGAAGAAAACAAAGCAAGGCACAATCATCATAATTACTCTTACTTTATACATCGCACCACAGTAGACGTACACATGTCCCCGTGGCTGAGTGCTGGCACGCACAACCCACGCTCCCTTTAGCCCACAGCGGTGTACGCCAGCGCGTATACGGCGAGCAGCAGCGGGGCACACACCCACGCAGAGCTGCTGAGGCTGCCGTCGATTTCGCAAAGACGTGACGGTGCGCAGGTGGTCGTCGTGGATGGCGCCTCTGTCGTAGCGGCCCTCATCGTGGTAGGCATCGTATTTGATGTCTGTTCCTCAATTGAGTTCTCTGGCGCAGCAGCTTCATAATTGGTTCCATTTTTGTGTCGGAATTACGTGGTGTCTTTCCCGTACTTGCAGTATCTTTTCCCTTCAACGCAGGGGAGTTCTTACTTGGTGCTGGCGCAGCAACCGGGAGAGTTGTCCCTCCTGGCATGCCTAATGGACCTGTTGCTTTTGTCGTATCATGATTCGTACTTACTTCCCTTGGTGGAGAGGGCGGTAAACCGTGTCCACTTGTTTGCTGTTCCTTCCTGGAAACGGTTTCTTCGTGCACCGTAATGGAATCACTTAGTGACTGTTCCGTTTCATCCTCCAAACGTGTTCCGTCTCGTGTGCCAGACTCAGTGGATCAGTCATGCGTAAGTGTCGCACCTATTCCTTCAGGAAACAAAAGACGATAGACTGGAGTCTTCATTATCGTCAGCTTTATTTTTGCCTGCATTCTTTGGGCCACCCTCAGTTTGTTTTCTTGGCACAGGAAGAAGTGGACTGGGGCTTGCAACATCTTCTTCACCTGCCGTCACGCACACGGACGTGCAGCAGCAGCACGAGAGCGCAAGGAACTGCACGGCGCACACCACACGGAGCCGCACCGTCACCATCGCAGTCATCATCGCCCGTATTGGAGTCGCTGGAGTCAGTCAGTCGATCGGTGAGACGGAAAGGAAAATAATGGAACGAGAGGGAGAGGGACGGAGCACAGCGGATACAGCGAGAGAGCGCAGACAACATGAGGAGAGGGCAGCAGGCCCAGCCGCACAGTTCACACACCACGAGACGGCGTCCACGCAAGGAAGGCACACAACGCCAGCAGCCACCCACCATGCAGGAGGAGAAGACATCCACCACCATCTCCCCCAGCTCATTCCCGCAGCCCCAGGGAAATGGCCAAAACCCCGCGGCCACCACACAACGCACACGGAGCAAGCGAACCCTCATCCATCCATGACGCGGCACAAAAACTTCCTGCCATCCCGCCCTCAATGGGACACGGAGCCCAACTCAGCGCAGTCACACGCGGTGCATCACACCCACAGGAAAATGGACTCGGGGTGCGCGCTCCCTCTCTCCCTCCTCCTCATGGCCACGGAAGAAGACAACAGCCGCCACACGCAACTGCCAGCATGCACTACAAAAGGAGCATTCAAATCCACTGCAACGTGCATCTTGTGTGTGTGTGTGTGTGGTTGTGTGTGCCTGCAGAAACAAAGCAAAGAAGTGGAAAAGAGGGAGCAGAGTATGCGGAGAGACGCACAAAATGCACAGCGGAGACGCATAACGGAAACAACAAGAAGAAGACCGCTCAAACTCATGACTGCACTGCAGCCCAAGCAGTGGCAATTCACACAATATTCATTGAAAACAAAAAAACGTCCTCCTTCCTCTTATATAAACCCCATCACACAAAATAATTATAAATGAAAAAGAAATCGTCCATTACTGTTCCACACAAATTTAAAAAAAGGTCGATTGGCTGCCGTGTGGCCACACCAAATTGTCTGCATATTTTGCCCACAAAATAAAAATTAAAAAGATATTTAAATGTCTTTCAACCGTCTGACCCTCCATGTGTCCGCACATCGTATATATTTCATGGGGTCATCTGCGTGTTGCTGCTCCCCTCAGCCCTCTTAACGGCGTGTGAGTGCGGCCCGCAGAGCACAGTCACTCGTGTGTATGTGGGGACTGAGAGAAGCACGCAGACATGACGGGAGTCGCGTCTCTCCATCGGGAGAGTGAGCGCAGCAAAAGAAAAAGAAATCATCGGAGGGGAGAGAAATACTCACGAGGCCGACACCGAAGGGTGCGCCACCGCATGAAATAAACACGCAAAGCAAAACAAATCCTTAAATAAAAACACGGCGGCAGGGTGTGGCTGTGTGTGTGGCGCTGCGGGTGTCTGCCCGCCCTGGCCGCAATAAAAAAAAAACAAGAGGGAAAGAAATGTGTGCTCCGCCCCACAGGCCCTCGTCGCACGCCCACACGTCACGGCTCCCTCAGCGCGCCGTTCGTCGCGGCCCCTCCTCATGCGTGCAGCAGGCGAGGCGCACAGGGCCGTCGTCATGAGCGTGTCGGTGGGTGTGCGAGTGGAGCAGTTGGGCGGGAAACACACGGCACCCCTCACAGGAAGAGTGCAGCAAGAAACAATTGAAAGAGGGAAGAGTAAAAAAGAAAAACGTCCACAGTGATTGCCCCAAAAGCAAAAAAGAAAGGGGGAGTGAGAGACTAAAAAAAAAAAAAAAAAAACAGAAAACCAAAAAAAAAATTAAAAAAAGGACACACACGCGCAACACGCAAAAAAAAAAAAAATGAAAAAAATGATGAATTACAAACAAAAGGCAAAAAAAGAGATTTATTTTAAGGATAATTTAGTTCTTGGAAGTAATTGTGTGCAGGGGATGCCGCAAGTGTCCCACGCGGCAGGCAGTCACTCCTCAGAGAGCCGCAGACCCCCACAGTCCCAACAGAAGCAGCAGCGATGGCAGCAGTCCGCTCCCACGCATGGTGCCGGCATCGCTGTTATTTTCTTGCGACACATTTCCGAGGTTGCTGCTGAGTGCCGTGGCATTTACTTCCCTGATCTGTGAATCGGCCCCCTCCACACCACCACTCGCATCTTTACTGCTTCCCACCAAATGCCCCCATTCCGACGGCTGTTGCCCGGCAGGAGTAGACGGAGTACCCCTCGGCTCTGTTTTTGCATGATACAGCTTTGGAATATTAACGCTTTTCATTTTAAGCGCAGTCATCTCCGCAGTACTCAACGGGCGGTTGTACAGCAGGACGTTCGTCACAGTCACTGACACTTCTTCTTTGCTCCCTGCGCCGCCTGCACTGCGTTCGTCCCCTCCAATGTAGAAGTGGGAGATCTCTTGGGATTCCGTGCTTCCCAATGCACACGACGCACCCACACCCACATGCTGACCATCAACGTACGCGGTGCCCTGTTTGCCGTTCTGTAGCACAATAGCCACTTGGTGTGTTGTCTCTGGCTTCCAACTGCTGCTGAGCTCCGTCGTCTTTTCGTCACCGCACCGCAATTGCCACTTATTTTTGTTGCTGTACGACAGTCCCAGGAATACTTTATTCTTACCGGCACCATTCATCTTCTTCACGCCCATCAAAGGGATGGGAGTATCTTCCTTCGGCACCCTGTCGATGGACACCGTCGCCACAAGAGTGAAGTTGTAGTTCGCAAAGTGGTACAGCTGATTCTCCCCCTGACTGCCAACGGGCCACTCCGCCCACGTTCCCCGGAACGTCACACCATCGGAAGTCTTTGTTGCCCCTGCTGCACCGTTCTTTACTGTGGCGTTCACCCCGAGGTACTCGTCCCTCCATGTGCCATCAGAGAAGTTGCCGGACAAAAAGCCAACCAGCCCATCCGTGATCTTATCAGCGCCGCAGGCATTGTCAGATGAGAAACCCTTCTGAGCAAGTAAAGTGGTGCACAGCTGAGAGACACGTTCGTCCACTTCCTTCCAGGTCGCCACCACCTCCTTCACCCGCTTCAGCTGCGCAGTCAGACGCACAGAAACCATACCGGGTGATGGTTTCTCCCCTTCGGCCTTCTTCTTCTCGTACAGTGCAATCAACTCTTCCTTCCCATTCGTTTCACTTTTACCAATTTTACCGCTTTTGTACAACAGGGAGCTGGCGGCAACATCTTCGTCCTTCCCCGACACCGGCCCAATATAAACAATGTGCGTATTGTCCGTCAGCCAAAGATGGAGTCTGCCCTTTTCCACATTTTCCTTTCCATTTTCTCCTTTTTTGGAATACACCGGCAGAGTGACGAGCATCACGTCCCTGTCCTCAATCGTCGCTGTGATAAACCCGTTCCCAACGCCCTTCTTATTTCCCTTGTGTTTGTTGCCCCACACGCGCGAGAGTGTCCCGAGCGCCTCCGTCCACGACTCCGTTAGATTAAACTCGTACACCCTGCGGCGGCCATCATCACACGCAGTCATCATCATGAGTTTGTCCTTCCACTCCACGACGGAGGGATCACCGCAGCCGTCGGCAGACATCTCCCTCGATACCACCCAACCCGCAGTGTCCGAGGAGTACATAATCAGCGAAACGGCTTTCCCATCCTCTTTTTTTGTGCCTTCCAATGGAAACAAGAGAGTATCACCTTTTATCTTAATACCCGATCCACCACCGCCAATCAGTCGTGTCCAGGATTGTTCCTGTCTGCCGTTAGAAATCCATGGGAGATCGTAAGTATCTTTCCAAAGGATCCTTTTGTTGGTACTGCCTTCCTCATTGTTAATGTTACCTTTTACCAGCAAGAGTCCACATTGAAACACAGAATCTGCCTTATCCTCATATGTCCAGCTGTAGTTTCCAGCAAGCATGTAAATATCACTTCCCTGCACGACTGTTGTTGGTCGGCTCACATGTACCTTCTTCACTCTTTGAGTGCCAGCCAGAACTGCTGTTTGGGAGGGGCATTGTTCTCCTCCGGAAGAACATTCCTCCAGAAATTGTGTCTTCAATTTACTTATATCCAACTCATTTGATGGTTCATCAGTCAGAGCCAAAAGCTCCGAGGCAATCCCAGTAAAAACGCATTCTCCGGTGCCCGTGCACTGCGCCTCGGCAACGGCAAACACATCACCATTCACCTCAACAAGACTGGGAACACGGAGCGAACTCACTGTTTCTCCCTTCTTATCTCTCCAATCAAACAATTTCCCCTTTGAAGATCCTGAAGCTGGCGACGTGTCCTGACTGGATGCAGCTCCACTGCAGCAGCACATCATCACAACGGCGAGGAGCAGCACCGCGGAATAGAAGGGATGCCGGGACATGTTGGGCCTCTGCGGCTCACTCTCTCTTCCTTCCCTCCTCCTTCCGCTGGATCCGGTCACGCGGCGACAGTTGTGTGTGCGGAGTGCCATGACAGCTGCAGAAACACGTGAAAGCATATAAATATGTGTGTGTGTGCTGTTGGTCCTTCTAGAGCCTTACAATTTCACAGTAGCAATTAGCGCTTGATTTCCTTCTTCGTGTGTGATTGAGAGGGTGGAGAGAAAAGATGCCAAGAAAGGGGTGAAACAGTGAGCACGGCCGCCCCTCCACAGTGAGTGGCACCATCATCCCCGCCGCAGTCACTCCCAACAACAACAACTCACGCACACAAACACAAAGAACAGCAGAAGCAGTAGAAATGCACTGGGAACACACAGCGGCTGTTGCCACTACAAGCAGGAGTCACGGAGGATGCATTATTCATCACGCGTGAGCACACACCAAGCAACACCGACAAAACAACGGGACGCAAAAGGGTGCAGCCGCCCTTCGCACCACCAACGCGCTGCCACCAGTCGTTTTACTGCTTGTCCCTTCCAGCGCGCCCTCCAACGCACATCACCCCGCACAGCCAAAGAATATCGGCAAATCCACAGCGGGATAAACACGTCGGCACGCGCAGCTCCATGGCGAGAAACAATCCGCACTCGCCCACGGCACCCTCAACACCACCCACCGGCTGCACGCCGCAAACATCACACCCTCCACACGTCGACGAAAGAATTCTCGGGCTGACAACCTTCCTCCTAGCAGGGACGCCGCAGCAAGAACCTTTTATGTGCATTCTCAGCGTTCAGACCTCTATGCAGCGTGAGCGACATGGCATGTGTGTGTGTGCATGTGCTTGTGCGTCTGGCAGCGCCTATAATTGCAGAGCAGCTGTGCGGCACAAGAGAGTCCAAAGAAAGCAACGGCAGAGAGAGGCAGATGGCACACACGCAAATTACCCATATCATCACACACAAACACACACACGCAGCCCGCGGAATGGGTGCACTCAACCACAACACAAGTAAAACAATGAAAAACAAAACAAAAAGCCGAAGCGTGGGACGACCAGCGCACACACTCTCATTGCTCCCGTAAAGCAAAACACACACAGGGAGAGAGAGAGAGGTCGCCCACTCAATGCAATAAAAACAAAACAGTTACGGTGCTCCACCCATGCAGCCAGGCAGGACGGCAGCGGTGCGTGTGGTGCAAAAGAGACCACCAACGGGCCTGCATGGGTGTGCATGCAATATATACAATGGGCACATTATGTGTGTGCTTCGTGGGATGAGGTGAGGGCGAGAGTCCATGCAAGGGGACACACACAGAGAGTGAAAGACGAGTGTGTGTGCGGGCGGTGCACGGCTCTCTCTCCCTCACTCTCACGCGGCCACCACCGCAGCCGCAGCCGCACACGCAACAAGAAGAAAAAGCAAAAGATGGGAGGTGGTGTGGGAGACCGCGGTGCTGCTGTCACTGTCACCGTCGTGTTTAGTTGCGGTTTCTTTTGTATCTGTAAGGTTTTTGTTGTTCCTGAATTCCTCGTCTTCGTTTAAGGAATGTTCTGGCTGTTGCGGTTGTCGTTGTTGTTGTTGTTCTTGTACTTTTCGTTCGTGTATTTTTGCATTGCTTTCCTGATCTCCGTCTTGTGTTAGGAGTTGCGATTGCTTCTCTTGGTGTTGTTTTATTTGCTGTTCCTGTGCAGGGTTATGTTCTTCTTTTGCTTTGCCTTGTACTTCATGTTGATGTGCATTTCCACTTTGTACACTTTGATGCTGCGGTTGCGTGAGCTGTTGTCCCTGACCTTTTTCTTGTACTTGTCGTGTGATTTTTTTTCTGTTTCATCTTTAATTTCTTCATCTTCTTCCTCCTCCACCTCTGCTTCAACTTCTTTTGTTGGCAAAGATTCTTCTAGAGAAGTGGGTTTTTCTCTTCCTTCGTTTTTTTCATTTGTTGCTGGTGCTTCGGCGCCCGTTTTTCCTGGCACGGGATTTTGAATAGGTGCTGACCCCAACTACACTCCAGTACCACCCGCAGAACCAGCGGGATCACCGGTAGCCCTTCGACCCTGCTCCCCACCGGAAATGCCTGGTGACGGTGACAGACCGGTCACCTGACCTGCTGCCGCTAGCTGTACCGATTGAGCCGGACATGGCGCCTCGGATAAATTGCGCTGTAGGCTTGGGTCTACAGGAACACGTGGATCGCTCGCCTGATCTGTTACCTCTGGATTAGAATTCGTTGGATCGGAGTCTTGTTTAACATTTTCTTCTTTACCTCCACTCTCTGCCACGCAAGCGAATGGGCAGTAGCACAGGGCGAGCACCAACAGGGCGCACAGCAGACGGCACGTCATAATCGTGAGTGTGGTCGTTCGGTGGTGTGGAGCTGATCTGCACAGTGAGAGACATGGAGAGCAACAGGGGAGACGAGAGGTGCGGCAGACACACACACAGAGAACAAACACACATGAGGAGAGGGCAGCAACCAGGCATGCACCGCACGCCGCACACCACGCACGACACACACTCCAATCCACGGCAACAGGCACACACACACACAGCCCTGCCGCAACACCAACACACAGATTGAAGAGGGAGAAGCAAACAGGAGCGGCACACAAGGCTCTACCGCATGCACATACGGCGAGAGCGGTCCGTCGTGTCTGCAGCCCTCACGGAGGGTACGCGCACACACAAGAGGAGGTGCAGCGCACACAGCAACACAAAAGCAAACTAGCAATAAAAAAAGGAGAGATCCCCGCAAACCACGTAAATTGCTGGTCCACGGGAAGTGCAGCCAATATTCATCACAAAAATAATTCAGTTGCCTTTGGCCTTCTTTCATATTCAGCGCACTCCACTTCATGCAGGCCCGGCCACCACTGCAGCCGCAGCCGCACACGCAAAATAAGCGTAATTAATGTAATAATGCAAGCAACCATTTATTTGTGTTTCTTTTTGAATGTTGGCAGATGTCCGCGTGCGTTTTTTTTTCTTTTTCTTTTTTTTTTTTTTTTTTTTTTTTTGCAGAGGGTAAACCTTCATGCCTGCATTGTGTGTTGGGGATTTCTGCAGGGTGCACAATTATTTGATTCTTTCCTCTTGTGAAATTTTCTTGTGTTGTTGCAACCAACAATTCGGTTTGTGTTGTTCCTGCCTTTTGCTGGTAAAGTGTTGCAATAGATGTTTGTTTCTCCTTTCGTTGCTGTGGCACCTGATTCCTCACCGTTTATTGCGGTGGAAATAAATAATATGTGAGTGGACTCCCACACACCAGAACGTACCTTCGCTCCTATTTATTGGTGCATGGAAGGGCATGTGTGTTTGGTGGTGCCTCGTCCATATATTTTGTGGGTGTACATTCCCCTGCAGGCTGAGGGTGGGATGACGCTCCGTCGCGGTGCACTTCCCTCGCATGCCGCCCACTGTGGTTCATCATGCATCACCCCCTCACATATTCCGTGGCGCCACACCGCTGATATTATTGCAGCCGCTGTGATTCCGCGTATTTCGCGCATTTGATTGTGCCACAATACACCCGCTCGTGTGGCCGCCGCATCCAAACAGCGGTGCCCAACACCGTGAGCGGCAGTCCACATCCTTGCATGTCCCAACGCAGTGGTGTTCGACTGTCAGCCAGGCGTCAGACAACAGGAGAGTATTGTGCTGGCAGTACAACACACGGAGCTGCAGCGAATGACTCGGGCGGCGACGCATCTATTTGTCGCAAGGCAGTGGAAAGGAGTCGGGCAAAATAATGCCGGCTGCATGCACGACACCATATCCACAGCCAAAGCATGCGACGCAATGTGCGTTTCATTGGTGCTGTGAAATGCCTGCAGACGACGTCACTAGTGGAGGCATGCCACCCATGATCAGCGGACAGAAAATAATCGGCATGGGAGGTCACAAAAGGCAGCAACGACGAAGCCAGCAGCAGGAGCAGCTCTCTCTCCCTCTCTGTTGCCTCCGAGAAGTAAATATTCCACCAGCCACAGCTGACTGTGCAATCGTGACACTCCATGCACGTCGTGGCTGCGTCAACACATCCTGTCCCCTGCTGCGCCTCAAAGATGCCTCACTCCGTCCACTAAGTGCATCGGTGTGGGCCGTGCCTCGGCTGTTCGTGAGGACCACAACGATGTGAGGGTCACCGAGTCGCAGCATGTTTGTTGTAGCGTTGTTGCATGGCACCTGCACACACACACACGCAGCGCCTGCATCCCTCCCTTTTGTGTTCGCCCTCTGCCGGAGTGGCCACACACACGGGCAGCAGCAAAATCACTTCACCCTCGACGATCCAAAATCAACACCGACATCCCTCGCGACGCAAAGATCTCAGTTGCCAGCACGGGCTTCCTGTCGCTCTGCCATCGACGCTGAAGCACGGCACAGTGCACGCACTTATTTTCCTCGTGTGCAGTCAGCCGTTTGCTTCACACATTCTTCGATTGCCTGACGTCCACAAAAGCACGCCACAAAAAGCCATTGTGATCGCACAAGCTCTTGCGATGAGCGTCTGTGTGTGCATGGATCCGCTGCTCACACGTGCTGGCAGGCAGCCTGCAGCCGGTGCCCTCGTGCCAGTTCATCGGCTCCAGCATGGGGAAGAGAAAATGGCCAATTCCTCGTGTAATTATTCCCACCAGCAGCACCAACACGCTGGTCGCCAGCCGTCATTCCTCAGCACATCCAGGAATGCTGAAAAGTGACGTGGAGCTTTCAGCCAGCAATGCCACAATCCCCGCACACATGTCGGCTCCACCAAAGAAGACACACAAATCACAAACAACACCCTCCACATGTCATCCGAACATCATTCCAATACACCGCGACACGCCAAACTGAAGTATTCGTCACTCCAATGCACCACCCCACACAATCACATAGTCCATGCACCACGCACGGCAGCAGCTCACACGCGTTCAAACAAATGTTCTTCGGATCAGTGTTATCCACGTGCTGCAGTGGGAAGTAAACAAAAGAGACGAGCTGCCAAACCAGAGTGCCACGACTGGCCGCAAGTAAACGGAACGCAGCCACCCAAATGAATTCAGTCCTAATGCCCTCAGCCTCCCACCTTCTCCCACAAAAGGGCCCAAAAGCTGCCAATCAAACGTGACGTCCAATAAAGTCGCTGTGCAACAAAAAGGAGAAACCGCAGTGCCTCCTGCTGTCATCCGAGATGTTGTTTGCTGATTAATGCAGACAGGCACTCACCTGCTCCTCAAAACGGCGCTGCGCAACTGCAACGCATTCTTCAGAATCGCAATTCTCCCACCAGATCGGGAAGCTCCTACGCACCTTCGTCACACACCACAGTGCAAATAAAAAAACAATGCTTTAGTTGGACTGCGATGCGGACCGCGCCACGCCGCCGTCAGCTGCGGCTGGGTGCAGAGGCTGGGGCGTCCCATCACACCACGCGATACTTTCTGGTTGGGCGCGTCCACGGTGCGTTGCACGACGGCGGCGAGGCAATCGCACCGTGTCCGGCCCCATTCACCTCCACAGCCTGGAAGTGCGGCACCGCGACAGCTGCACTGCATCGCTCGGCCCACGCGCAGCAAAGAAGGATACTTCTGTCCACCTGGCAGCCAATCCAGCACCGCTGCGGAGGATCATTGGATTCCGCACAACCACACAACACGAACGCCTCACACTTCTCCGATGTATTGAGAACGTGCGTGGCGCAATCTGATTGGAGGCCATGCCGCCGTCTATGCAGGAAAAGCGGCGACATCGATCCCACTTCAGAGAGATGCTGTTGTTAATGGATTGCGCCGCGTACGTAACATTATTGAGATACCCCACAGCCACAATCGCGCTCCTCCTATTCAACATCGAATTTTCCCCTGAGACACTGTGAGCTGCAATAAAGTGGAATTTATTCAGCCACGCTTTGCCAAAGACGCCTCTGACGATGTCAAGCGCACGGCTTTTGATTCTATTTACTCCTCTCTAGGAGATTTCGATTTTGAATTATGGACAGACGTTTCTTCATCTCTCGCCGAACTCGCATCTGGATCCGCTGCATTATTTTATGGCTCCACCACGACAAATGATCTCCCTGTGGAGGTCCATCGTGCAGCAGCTGGCAGGCTCGCACGCTCATATAGAGCAGAGTGCCTCGCCACTGAAAATGGCATTAGACATCTCATACCTTTTGTCTGGGAACATCCCAATCGTCCACACGAATCCTGGTGGCAACGGACTCCCTCTCGGCGATGGAATCACTCCGCGTCGTCCCACTGGCCATGCAAGACTACGTTACCGAAGAGATTTGGATTACACTGCTCTCCTTGATACAGCGAGGTCACTCTGTAAACTTCATGTTCTCTCCATCGCACTGCGGTATCCCACGCAATGAGGCCGCTGACGAACAAGCCATGATTGCACGATCCCTCCCGCAGGAGGGCAGCCCAATCTGGCACGTGGACTTCCTTACTGCAGTCAGGTGACTGTACTGGAGGGATGCCCAGAAGAAAAGGAAGGGCGCGTACACCGCATGACAGGCGCCTGTCGGTGTGGCAGGGACTCTATTCCTGGCACGACCCGGACATCGTGCCACGAGTGGCGGCTCTGCGCAAAGGCACGGTGCGATTCCTGCCCACTCTTCGACAGGCCTGCGTGTGCCCTTCGTATCACAAGTAACCCTCTGTATCGGTGGTGCCGTCCCTCCCTCACTGCGGTGACCGGCCCGCCGCTGCATCCGCCAGAACCTCTTCCCGAGGTGAGCGCCGCAAATCATTGCCGACCAGCGAGCGACGGATTGACGTCCTCCTGCCCAACCTGCAGCAGAGTGCGCTCGTTCGTCCACAATATGAGGGCGCATGCCCGACGTGCTCCGCCTGGCGTTCCGATAGTTGGAGAAGGCCTCCCATGCGGGTGTCACAATGGTGCCAGCGTCTTCTTAACAGGCGCCTCGCGCACAGGTTGCCACAGAAGTTGCCAGCAGGTAAGACACGCAGGAAGCAAAAACGCGGGTATTCGAGAAGGACCACGAGAGAATTCGTTTCATCCACTGCAGAAATGCCCCCGTCGTTTGGAATTGGTAATGCGAGTGTTTGGAGTGCGCGAGCCCGCACGACGGCACTTTTCGGACGGAATGCTTGCCACTTTTGTACGTACGGCCCTTGCGCTACTCACTCGTTATTGCAACAGCATACAGCAAAAACAAGATAACAAGTTGCTTTGCGATGAATGTTGGCTAGCCTTCCCATGGACCAGTAATTCAATTGGTTTGCGGGGATCTCCTCTTTCTATTTTTATTGTTACTTTGCTGTTGTGCTGCTGTGTGCGCTGCACCTTCTTGTGTGTGTGCGTACCCTCCGTGAGGGGTGCCGACACGACGGACCGCTCTCGCCGTATGTGCATGCGGTGGAGCCTTGTGTGCCGCTCCTGTTTGCTTCTCCCTCTTCCATTTGTGTGTTGGTGTTGCGGCAGGGCTGTGTGTGTGTGTGCCTGTTGCCGTGGATTGGAGTGTGTGTCGTGTGTGGTGTGCGGCGTGCGGTGCATGCCTGGCTGCTGCTCTCTCCTCATGTGGTGTGCCCTCTGTGTGTGTCTGCCGCACCTCTCGTCTCCCCTGTTGCTCTTCATGTCCCTCACTGTGCAGATCAGCTCCACACCACTGAACGACCACACTCACGATGACGACGTGCCGTCTGTTGTGCGCCCTGCTGGTGCTCGCCCTGTGCTGCTGCCCGTCCGTGTGCGTTGCAGAGGGTGATGATAAATCTGGCAACGTTGGACAGGGTCCAAAGCTCCAGAATTCAAGGGGTTCAAGCAATCCCGAGAAGCCAGGAGCAAAATTCACGGAAGGTTTTGGACAGAGTTCAGATAAGGAGCCCATTCCTTCCGAGACACCATTGAAGACCGCTTCTGCTCCAGCAGCTCCATCTCCGACAGGTACAGGAGAAGGACCAAGTGTAGTACCCACTTTGCAAGATGGAAGAGATGCGTCTGGTCAGCAAGGGGCATCAGAAGGGAATAACCTTTCGCCAGGATCAAAAGGTGATTCCGATATGTCAGTTGTAAATAATCCGGAGCATAATAAAGAAGTGGCGCTAACTGGTAACGAAGTTAAGGAACAGGCACCAACCACGACAACCACAACGACCACAACTACAACAATGGCACCAACGACAACAACCACTGCGCCGGAGGCACCAAATGATACGGCCAGGAATATAGAGGCGCCAACCACGACGACCACCCGTGCACCGTCACGTCTTCGCGAAATCGACGGCAGCCTCAGCAGCTTTGCGTGGGTGTGTGCCCCGCTGCTGCTCGCCGCATCCGCGCTGGCGTGCACCGCTGTGGGCTGAAGAATTGTGCATGCGGGCTGTGCGTGCCAGCACTCAACCACGGGGACTTGCGTGCGTCTACTGTGGTCCGATGTATAAAGTAAGAGTAATTATGATGATTGTGCTTTGCTTTGTTTGCTTCCGCTGCTCTGCTGTGTGCTCCGTGTTGTTTTCCACATTTATTACGTTGAACGCATCCCAGAGACACTTGTATTTACTACACGAACACAACTGCTTGCATGGACGCATGTCCGTGTGTGAATGCATGCACACTGGAGCCATACTGTGCAGCCCTTTGTTTTTTGTGTTTTTACATTTTTTACTGTATTGCTTTTTGTTTACCCGTGTTTTGTTTTTAATTTTTTTTCTGCTGATTATTAATTGCTACAGGGCGTTTTGTGTGTTTTTGCCCTTTCACTGTTTTCAACTGCCTCATGGTGTGTGTGCGCTGCCGCTTCTGGGTTGCTGCCATTTGCCACTGTGCGGTGGTTGTGTGTGGTGTAGCGGCCGTGACTCTCTTTTTGGTTTCACTCTGCGTTGACGTGTTGTTAGTTTGTGCTGGAGGCTACACGCAAGTGACAGGAGTGATGGCGATGATGATGACTGGCCGTGTGCTGCTGGTGTGTGCCCTCTGCGTGCAGTGGTGCGGTGCGGTTTTTGGACACGCGATGGACGATTACTGCAGTGAGGGTGGAGGGAACGGTTTGAGGCACACGAGTAATGGTGGAGATGACGGCGTGTCTCTAAAGGCGGAT